CTCAAGGAAGCTGGCACACAGCAAATCTGGTCACAAGGGCCATCACTGAGAATCATACCAAAGGAAGGTTAGACATACCTGTTGATTTCAATGAGGCATCAAGCTGTCCCTGAAAACTCTGCTGAATAGAGAGCAACTGCAACTTATTTTGAGAAATCACACCTGAGTTGACCTGGAAAAAAAATCTATTTTTCTGTGCTTTTATTATTTATGTTATGTAATGTTCAGGAATTATGTCTGCAGTGTATGCTGTGCACTGGCTGATGTCCAGGCTTGTACCTGAACTCACGGTTTCACATTCAGATACAGACTTTAGATACATGGTAGATCATTCTGAGAGCACAAAGCCTGGAGTTCTGCTATTTCATGGTGTGGACTACTGGTTTTTGCAATGCAGATGTGCAGTGAGGTACCCTATTTAGCCCTCCAAAGACACCAGGGATTCAGTGTTGGGCAGATGACTTTTTTTTTACAGAGTCCTCCATAAAGGTGTTCTTTTGCACACTGCAAGGACAGAAGAGATCTATAGTCAAAATATGTTTGGAGAGCCCTTGCAGTAGTCTGTGGCTGGGTGACCTCGAAGTTATGTGAACTCTGTGTTTAGCAATGTAGGCGTGTCTCACTGAAAGCAAGTAATCTCTCGGCATCTAGACCCACCCTAGTGGGCATAGCCCTTGAGTCACAGGGGAGCTCAGTTTTGGACAGGTAAATATAAAGCACAGAGGCCCCTTACAGGATGGTGGCTGCTTTAACTTGACTTTCATGTTTCAGCTGCTCTGCCTGGTTAATACATTTGAACTGAGCAGTGGCATGTATTCACACAGTGTGTCTGCCAGAAGGAAAAACCTGCAGAGAACACTGATCACTTTACTAGAACATCTTGGCTGTTAAGTCACCCAGAAAATCATTAAAAGACATTTTCCAATATAGACTATTAATTGCATAGGTAGATTGGCATTAGGTACTTGAAGTTTTTTTGAAGAATCAAATTGTTTGTTGAAGGTAACTGAAAACACCTTAATCTGCTCTTACTTGATGTGGTCAGTGCTTTGCCTTAAAAATAGCGCACACACACATAACAAATACACATACAAAGAGCTCACCTATATCTTTGGCTCTTGAAGCTAAAGGTCTTCTCCACTGGGTAACAAATTTGTATGCATCAAGCCGAATTTCAATAATATTGTTAAGTAAGGCCAGAAGTGGTGCCAGTGGAAAAGCTGCCACAAAAATGGTTGTGAACCCAAACTGAAGAACTAGGAAAAAAAAGGAAAGATGATAGTATAACTGTTAAGATCTAATCTCAAAGTCTAAGATAACAAATAATATATGTATACAAATACTATGTATAAATATACAAACATTTCTTATTATGCCGTACCATAGTCTAGTGACACTTGTACAGCATTTCCTTGTGGTTCAGAGTTCAGAGCAAGGATGACAAGAACAAATGCACATGTGTCCCCAGGATGGACAGCAACATCTAGATTTTGTAATTTGAAGCGAAGTTTAGAAGTGGACAAACTGGTTTTAGAAAGGGACATTGTTACCCCAGCATCAATTAGGATCTCTCAATACCTGCAAAGATTAGGGCTGAGTATATTCCTATTTATAGTACAGATGGCTGGCAGTTTAAAACTGTGTAAGTTTCTAGATGCTTGTTTTCAGACTTCCAAATTTCCCATTAATTTGAATTTTAATTGTGTAAGGAAGGAAAGAAAAAAAGAGTGATGACATATGCAGTTCAGTCACATAGGGCAAAAGTTCTTGTTCTTTAACATTTCTTTGAGCAGTTATCCTCCCCTCTCTGGATAGACCAATGCCTTTTGGCAGCTAGCTACTTTGTAAATGTGAGGTAGTAAATGATGGTGAATTTTAAACATAAACAACCATGCAGGTCTGTACCATGCAGTTTGAACAAAAAAGCCCAAGGGAACTTCCTTTAGAAAATAATGGCAAAGTTCTTCAGAAATGCATGCAGGTGAAGAGGTGGGCTCTGGTTTGGAAAATGACCATCCTCACACAATGCCAGAATAAGTGTTTCATAGATATGAGGTTAGCAAACCAGCAGCAGTGTGGTTAGCTACATTGGTTTGGTTTCGTTCTTACAAACTCCCATTCCTCACCTGACCTGTGAGAATGAAAACCGTTTTGCAGCCTCTTTAGCTTCATACAGTATTAATTAAAAGAATACACCAGCCCAAATTAACAAAAAAGCAACAAAATTAAAATCTAGTGAAAGAGACAAAATGAAGGTCTGTGCCATACTCATTTCTAGGTATTCATCAAAGAGTCCATAAGCATTCATAGGCTGCAGATTGTAGTCCTTTTCCCACTGTGGGAAGGTTGTTTTCTTTTGTGTGCCATACTGTTGCCGTAGTTTCCTCCTGGTCCACCAGTTTTGAATTAGCCTACATTTTCAAATAAATTAAAGAAACAAGGTAAAGAATATTAGTGGGTATTTATTACAAAATTGGAAGAGGCTAAGTGTGCACAACATAACTTACAAAATAAATTTCCCAATGCACAGGAAAATAGAGCATTAGTAATACATGTGGTTGACGACATATCATAGCAAGTATGAAAACAGATACGGTTGATAGGCTGTAATCCAGGCCTAGATGTTAAAATGGTGGAGGGATTTTGACATATTTTCATTATTTATTTAGCTTCTTTTTGTCTACACAGAACGGCAAATGTCTTCAGTCTGTTTATATGGCAGAATGCAATGCTGTATGGAGATAGTTGACCTCTAATTAAGAAATTAGTAAATACAATGCTAATGCTGCTTGATCCCTTCCTGTGTGTGAGCTGGCATCTCTACATGGCCCTTCAGTGTGCAGGGTGACAGTCCCTGGGCAATCCTGGAATGGAAAAAGCAACCTTGAGTGGTGTCTGTGGCCAAATATTTAGAGGAAAAAAAGGTGGAAAGAAGTGTGTGGACTTCTGACAACATGTGATGGCCAAGAGATGGATGGCTGATATGAGACCTATCTCCATCTCAAGAAGTGAGGGAGCTGTACTGGATTTCAGAGGGAAATATTTTTCCTGAAGAAAAGCATGTTAGGGCACTGTGGGAGGCACTGAGCCAGAAGAGAAATGAGTGCTCACATCTGAAATAAACAGCTTTTCCTCTCCAGGTCAGGCAGTTGCACTGGTTTGGCCAACAAAGGACACCAGTTACAGTTAGTATAGAGAGCAAACAAAACCAACCCATGACAAAGATTTTCTTTGGAGTTGCAGTTGTCCGCTTTATCTCAGCGAGATAGAAGGTGATGGCTTACCCAAATAATTCAGTTCTTTCCCTGAGTGTACTTTGCTTCTTGTCTTCACAGTGGCCTGGTCTGGTCTGTGAATGGCAGGCAAATGGCCATTGGATTTGGAACAGGGCTTGGCCAATTGCTTGTTTTCTTAAAGCTTACATTATTTTTTCATTCAAGCCATTTAGCAGAGAAGTTACAGATTTTGCTGTCTCCCTGAAGGAAGTAGGTGCAACTGAGTGCAGGGCATTAAAATCTAGAGTTTAGAAGTGCAAGAAAAAAATGTAGAAGTATAAGCATGGACTTCAAGTAAAAATTTGGAAGTACAAGAAATTATTAAAATATTTGGTTTCAGCAGCTTGCAGTTAGTCACTAGTGTGTAAAAAGCCTAAAAAAGTCTTTCATATGAATGACCATGGTTGTGACTGACGAACTGAGGGAGAATTAAGGGCACATCTTTGCAGTCCACAGCACCCTTTGGGACTTTGCCTCTCCTGTCCTGCCCGTGGGAAAGTGAGAAGGCTGAGAATGGAATCCTGCAAAGACAGCAAGTTGAGGGGTGAGGTGAATGGCAGACCAATATGCTGACATGGATGCCAGTTAACTTCCTCCTTTGTGAGAGGGGAAATCCAGAGCCACTGTTACTAAATACCTAAGACTCCTAGTAAAATTCAGAGTTGTCATTTTATTATTTATATGTGAGCAAAATGTGGGCAATGTGATGTAATGTGGTTTTAATATGGATATATGTTCTTCTTCCAAGAAAAACATCAACTTGAAATTAGAGTTTTCCATCTCCAAACTAAGCAATAATTTATACTTTGTTTCTTAGTTACTGCAAATGCATCTATGCAGGAGAGGAGAACTGATGTACACTTCCAGAGGTTTCGAGGTAGTGTTTGGATGAAGCAGAAGCACCACTCTGATATGCCAGTATTTGTACTAAAAATGTAACCACTAAACAATCAATGTTCTAGATCACACCCTAGGGCCTCTCTTTGACATCTTTGAAATTTAGTTTTTAACTCTCAGGCAGAAATTTCAGAAGACAAGCCAATGCTACATGTATCAATGAGAAATGTGACAGGAGGCACTGGGATTCCTGCCACCAAGGAACAGCTGGTAGCATTTCTGATTTGCCCTGCGTGTGTCTGTGGTCTCTGTGGGAGCAAGTGCCGGCACCACAGCCAGGCTACCACCCTGAAATGGTGCAAAAAAACCACACTCCAAAACTGGCTGCTGGTGCTTCTCTCCTAGGGCTGTCTTATGGCGAAATACTCTGTGCTATCACTCTTGGCACTGCATAGTGCTGGCTCTGCCTGGTTCTCACTCAGCAGGCAGCAACCAGCACACGGGTGGAGGTGCAGTGATGTTCTGCTATGGACTATAGGATTGCCTCCAAATCCTCTGGCCATCCACATGGTCTTGGCTCCAATCATGCTCTTAGCAGAAATGATCATGTTCTTTTCACACTTGCCTGCAGCATTTCCTGGCTAGAAGGTGGACTGAAAGGTCTGGAGAGCAAATACATCTCTCATCAGAATAAGCTGAAGTATCTCACATTGTTGTGACTGTGGCTTTTGTGTTGTGATTTTCCTTGTGACTCTAAAGTCAAGAGCCTGACTTCACCTGAAGTAGTTTATTCCTATTAAATCACTTGTTCTTAAACAATCTTCTCCTATCTCCTTTAGTTACCTTCTTTAATCCTCTTCTGTGCTCTTTATTAGGTTTCAGAATCCCTATTAATAAGCAGTAGAAATATCTAATTCCTCCAGCCCTAACAGCTGCAAAATCCTGGCAAGTAGCGCTAGGTGCAAACACGGGGAGATGGAAAGATAGTGAGCTTTGAGTACTTTTACTGCCAATTATTCTGTGCATTTAAATAATTTACTCTGTTTTCATTACAGCTAGGTGTGATTAGCACTGAAGCTGCCTGAAATAACTTCTGCAACATGTGTCTGCAGTTCAGGGACTGAACTCTGCACTAGCTCTGCTGTGGATCCTGCAGTGAACCAAATCCCTCTGAACTTTTCAAGGGCAAACTTTCTGACAATGTCAGCTCTCTCTTATATTTTCACACTTGATAACTTCCCTTGATGATCTGCCACACTGTCTCTAGCATCAACTGTCTATATTAATCATATTAAACATGCTCATGAAATACTAATCAATAAGAAATGAACCAATAGAAAATGAATAATCGTCAACCTTTTTAGCTAGGGCACAGCTCCATAATACCCTGAAGATCACTAGGGAACTTGTCTATATACCAGTCAGTAAATTTTTCTATCTCTGAGTGTGTATGTGCCAGCAGTGCACTTTTTCCAGTTCATACCCGCTCTTTCAGGCACCTTTTATCACCCAGCAAGGAGAAATCCAATTTAGAACTTACTGACATAGCTGAAAATTGATACATATAATATTTCCTGTGTAAGGAAATATTATATGTATCAAATATGGCAGTCCTACAGTTATTTTTAAGGAGTTTTAAAACATGGAATAAAATTTAATGAAATCAAATACTTCCCATATATTATTTATTTGTTAATATTTATTTTACACTTTCACTTTTGCAAACTATGTCAAATGTGAAAAAAGCCCCCAACCAATCTATCTCTATATATCTTAAAATCTATATTAAGAGTTTTGCAAACTAGGGGGGATTTTCTGTTGTAATGACTACTGTATCTTTCTTTTATGTAACTGGTCATATGAAAGCATAAACTTAGCATTCTTCTATGATCTACGGAAGCATAGGCATTATATTTACTTACGGGTATCCTAGTTCCATGAAGTTATTCCAGGTTTGCTTTAGCACCATTATAATACCCATTTGCATGCAGAGATCAATAAGGCATCCGCTAGGGTGGCACTACAAAAAACCAGAAACAAAAGGTTAAGCAGAAATTACACTGAGTTTTTAAGCATTTCTTAAAGAGTGTAAATGGATATTAAATAATTTACTTAAAGGAAATTAAATGCTGTTCTGTTTAATTTTTTTAAAAATACACACTCAAGGGAGCGTTTGAGACTGTATCACACCACGAGCCTTTTAAGCCTATAATTTACTTTCCGCAGAGGTCAGAATCAGTTGAAAACAACGCAGTTTTCACATTAGTGATGATAATATGTTGTGCAACTGTGGGTGGGACAGAGGCGAAGGCTAACAAGTTCCTTTAATGATTTCAGTATTTTTGGGGGAGGATGACTGTGCCTCAAGTCAAAGAATGAAGAGAAAATTCCTCCTGGCTGCCAGGTAAACAGTTCATGCCTAAAGGATAGACCTAGTATTGTTTATTGAGCACTATTTAATGCATGTGACTGAGTGAACTATGCAAAGCTGCTATCTTCTCAAAGAACTAAAAATCTCTAACTGTCAAACGAAAGTTATCAGTGTCTCTTGCTGAGTGCTTGCTTGCTTTAGCAGTGGCTCCAGGCCTTGAAGAAATCATGCTGCTTTTAGGAGAGATGCTCAGCTTGTACAAATTTAAGTAATTCCACAATTTTTCCTTTAGTATTGGAAGAAACAAAAAAGAGCCAAAAACTTTCTGCCCTCAAATAGCATTTTGCACAACTGACTTTGCAGATCCAAACAGTGGAGGTCCAGGCTGTATTGTTAGATCCTGGGTACTATGGATAAGATGAACGGATCACTGCTGTAGAAGTGGAACTACTTCTCTTTAACTTTTAGGGAGAAAAAAAAATGATATTATTTATGACCTGTAACAAAATGCAATAGGAATTATACAGTGCTCGGAACCAGGGTCCCTGCTGAGGTTTCTGTTGACCTCATTCTGCTTCTCTTTAGATTAACAGGGTGGCAGACTTTTTTTTTTTAAATTAACTTTTCTAGCATATTATTGAATCATCATATTTCTGTTTTTAGGAATCAGTCACATGAGCCAATATAAACTAAGAGAAGTAGGTGCAGGTGAAGTAGCAGTGATTTTACAACCACAATTTCACTGATGTACTTTGTCCATTGTGGTCTGAATGTGCCCACGGACACTGGACCAGACTATATTGTATTATTAAATGTCTTACACTTGGCTTCATCCAACAGCTGAAGAGAGGGCTATTGGAGCAATATCTGGGCATTATATTCTACATTATGTTTCTTGCAAGACCTAACTCGGATATGGTCAATAAAGTTGAGACTTTTTTTATTAGATGATTTTTTACTTTTTTTTCTCTAAGAAAGACAAAATAGTAGAGACTGCTAATAGTAGCTTCCACCAGTAACCCACCCAGCCTGTAACACTTTGCTGCTGCACATCCCTCCCAAACCTGGTTCTTTGTTTCTCCCATCTCTGCTCCTGCAAGTTAGGTTCTTTCCATGTTCTCTGATGCCTCTGTGAGATGATTCAGCCCAATAACTCATAAGAAAACTAATTCAGCCAGAAAAAGGAACAGTTCCCTGCTAATAGAGACAACTGAGTAGGCTCCTCACAAGGCTGGTCAAGCCAGAGCCAGTGTAGAGGAAGAGGAAGGAGCAAACTTCTGTGAGAAGTTGAAGGAAGAGCAGTACTGTCCTCTTTTGGCAGCAGCAAGTTCTTAGGTCAGCTTGCCCCCATATAAATTTTTCTTTCCTTCAATGTACAGAATTCACTACTACAAAGTTAGGATGGCTTTTTCAATTTTTTTTTTTTTTTTTGCTAGTTATTTGGATGAACTCTATTAACCAAAATATTTAGATATCTGGAAGTGTTTGTAAATTCAAGTTGGCAGTGTTAAGTCCTGCATTTCCGCACACCATTTGCCATGTATTTGCAAAATTGTTTTAGTTATTCAACTGTGAAGCAGGAAAGAAACTATGGGATTTGAGTGTGCAAATAGCAGCACTGAAAGCTACACGTCTGGTCTAGAAACTGCTGCTGTTCACCTCCAATAACTGTCAAATAGTTTTTGGGAATTTGTGAATTCTGAATGTATTTGCTCAAAAAATGGGATTGGTTCTTGAGGGACTTGCAAAGTCAACCTCTCATTGCTCTTCAAATCTATTTGTTTCTATAGACATGGAACATTACACCAGTAGCTCTTTTGGGAAGTTTGTTCAGTTGTTTTGGTAAGTTTTCAAGTCCACTTTAGGTGTCTGGATTTTTAAGTTATCCTTTTATTATTTTATCTCCCTGGTCAGCAAGGCTAGAAAAGCTGAGAAGAAAGGATTTATTCAGGAGCAAAAAGTTGTCAGATTCATATCTGACTTTGATTCATTTCAAGGATGAAATATTTCCAATGTAAAAATGTGAGTAATGTTTAAACCATTTGATACCACTACCCAAATGTGATGCAAACACTAAAACTACTAGCATTGAAAAGGGCATATATATCAATATGTAGATGTTTTTGTAGCAGATGGCAGTGTCAGTAGGGTGGAGTTAGATAGCAACTGAAAACCCAATAACACACTCAAAAGTACCTAAACAGAGTTATGCGTCTGCCTCTGCTTGCATTCACTGCATCTGTGGGCAGCAGATAAATCAGTGTGTAGTTAAGTGAACACTCACCTCTTCCAGCCTCCACCGGTTTATCAGCCTTAAGTAGGCACCAGGGTGTCCTGTAAATCTTTAACACAGGAATATACATCAGCTATAGTACGTAAGCAGTCTGTTCACAGTAGTAGAAGAAAGCTCATGCTGTTGTTTTAATCTAATGTCATCTTAGAGAGATTGATATAACCATAAATGATGTTATGCTGCAAAAAGTTTTCAGGGATTCCTATTTCTATGAAGTGCTAAGTATATTTTTACTTCCAGTTTTATTTCAATACCAAATACTCTGCTGTTGGATATTCAGCATATGCAGAGAATAGAGAAAATCTGAATAAAACTGTTCATGTCAGTTTGGAAAATGGTTTTCAACTGCCAGTCCACTTCCTTACACCATAATGTGATATCTGCCTTTCTATGAAATCAGTGAAAATGTTAGTTTTCATTAGGAAGACATGATTTTCTTACTATTCTCCCATGTTTTCTCCCAAAATGATACCCACCATTTCCCCTACATGAATAATCCATACTGATGGATTTTTCTACTCAAGCCTTCTCTACTCAAATACTCTTCTTTTGCTTTTAGGGGACTTGCAGAAAGAGACATACAAATATATATATATTTCATTTTCTGTGGGAAAAAAACAACTGGTAGCTCACAATTCACTCATAACAGTCCAAATCATATAATAGAAAAAGCAAAGTATTCAGGCAGTTGGACTAGACGATCAGTGTAGGTCCCTTCCAACAGAACTATTTTATTCTACTCTGAAAGAAAAAGACATAGTGATAAGTTATTTACTTACCTGTACAAATTACACACATAAAGACAGAGCGAAGTGACCTGTACATATAGTGCTGTGGGATGCATCAGTTCCCAGTAACGAAATTGTTAAAAGCTAGCATTGAGCCAATGTGGTGCTAGGAAATGAAAACATCTGTTTCTAGGCTTTTTGAAAGGAAAATAAAACTGCAGTTTGTCTTGCTTTGCTAGCATGGAATTTGCATTTTGAGATGTGCGATAACATGGTCCCGTTTTGTTTCATTACAGACAATTTTATTTCTTCTCTCTACTTCATTTTGCACATATGAGGGTGGAGACATTAATCCTACCTTCCAAGGAAGAACGCTATGTAAAAGGTAGAGCTGTTCAGATTGACAAACTGAAAGAGAAACATTTTCAGAGTGAAGCTGTTCTCCCACTCAGATTCTGTACGAGGCTGCTCTGTGAAGAAAGAGAGTTTCAGAAGTTTTATCAGATTAACAATTTCCCTTGGCACAAAGGCTGCCCACATCTATCAGAACTGGAAAAGTATTTGTAAATTAGCCTGCTGATTTTAAAATATAAGCTGACAGAAGAAATTGTATCCAAAAGCAGCACACAGCAAGTGAGCTTGTAAAGATTTAGAAATCTCTTCTGACATCTGGATATGTATATTCCCAGGAGACTGTAAGAAAGTGGTCAAGGTAGTGTGCATATTAAACATCTCTCCCAGATTTTTTTATGCTTTTCAGGCTCAGGCTCCTCTCTTCTTTTTATTTCTGCAACCTACCATAATGACACTGCCAGAAAGCACCCCACTACAAGCTACATAAGTGCCTTTTTGTTAGAGATGTCACAATGAACTGGAGAAAATCCTCCATGTAATTCTGTTTCAGGGATTTGCCCACCATGCTGGCACCTAAGAACTCTACACTGGAGTGCCACTGCCTGACTCCCTTTCCTTATCCCAGGGACCCCATCACAGAAGACTGAGAAAAAAAAAATTTGCAATGGATGAGATAAAGCAAATAGGAAAGGGGAAGACATAATCTTCCCTTTAGGAAGGCCCTTAATCTCTGTCTATAGAGATATCAAGGCATAAGTTAACAAAACAACTTCTGTGCCAACACACCAGTACTATGTCCTGGAACTACTGTACAGTTGGCAGGAGCTTGTTATTAGTCAATCATTGCTGTGAACAGGAATAATCAGAGGAGAAGTGGAGGTACTAATGGTGATTCTGAGTATCATAAAGGTAGTACTTATATAATATTTCCAAAGAAGCCTCCAGGTAAAGTACTGGAAGTATACAAACAACAACGATAAACTAGATTATCTTTAATTAGAGCTGCCCTACCCATGAGGAAGTTTCAAATAGATGTATCAACAAAACCATAAAACAGACCATGAATTAACAACTATGTTAGTTGTTAATTAACAATGCCTGTCAAGAAATCCAAGTTTGTGCGTATGCTACTACATACGTATTTAGCTCAGCAGAAAGAAATAAAGCATAGTGGATTTTGGGTGCCATTTAGAGGGAAGGTCAGGTTTGACTTTAACAAGGTTACTGCAATTGAAGCTTTGCTCTTATGCCCATCAGAGACAATGGCAATGCTCTGGAGGAGCACGGATGTGAGCTTTGAAAAAGGTCATGTAAAGGCTGAATAAGGACATCCTGAATGTAGCTTTTCTGCCAATCCCACTCTGAGCTTATTACACTGATAAAGATCATTCAGACCACATCAGCTACTTAGGCCATCAGAGTAAAAACCACAGTCTGAACACTGAGAATCATAGACTCATAGAATCATAGCATGGTTTGGATTGGAAGGGACCTTAAAGATCATCTAGTTCCAACCCCCCTGCCATCAGCAGGGACACCTTCCACTAGACCAGGTTGCTCAAAGCCTCATCCAGCCTGGCCTTAAACACTTCCAGGGAATGGGAACCCACAGCTTCTCTGGGCAACCTGTTCCAGTGTCTGACCACCCTCACAGTGAAAAACTTCTTCCTAATATCTAATCTAAACCTGCCCTCTTCCAGTTTAAACCCATTTCCCCTTGTCTTGTCATTAGTTGCCCTTGTGAAAAGTCCCTCCCCAGCTTTCTTGTAGCCCCCTTCAGGTACTGGAAGGCCGCTGTAAGGTCTCCCTGGAGCCTTCTCTTCTCCAGGCTGAACAGTCCCAACTCTCTCAGCCTGTCCTCGTAGGAGAGGTGCTCCAGCCCTTGGATCATCCTGGTGGCCCTTCTCTGGACTTGTTCTAACTGGTCCATATCTTTCTTATGTTGGGGGCTCCAGAACTGGACGCAGTACTCCAGGTGGGGCCTGTCAGAACAGCTTGACTCACTGAGTTTTCATACAAGGGCTTTTTGTACAGGTTACAAGAAGCAGACCTACCTTGATGATAAACTGGCTGAAAGCAATCAAGCTTCAAGGTCTCTAGACTATATTGTACTGTCCCCAGGGTGTCACAGGGAGTAAAAGGGCATAGCCTGTGCAAATCACATACTTGAAAATCATATTTCTCAACTGTAACTAGCAGATACCTTTCCCATGGATACAGGATGGCAAAAATATTTTAAATTTACAGAACACAAATGAAGACTCAGTCTAATAAGAATAGAACAGAATAAAATGCTCTTATACAGATGTGCTTTGAACACATCACCTGTGACTTCCCAGATGTAGAAAAGCCCTGACACTAGCTAAAACCAGCTGTGTATTTCCTCTGAGCAGACATCAAACTCTGTCCACCTGGTCAAAAATACCTTACTGATCACCATAAATATACACAGGTATGCAGAGGCTCAAAATAATCTCCTCAAAGATTGCAGAAACTTAGAACACCATTAGAGTTTAGGTGCTGCTAGAGTTGATGAGTCATCTAGTTATTTTCCCTCCAAATTACTGCCCCTCTTAAAGGTGTATGTTTGATAGTCAAGCACCTTAGTTTAAAGTTATAAATTTGGCTTCCAGAAGTGATTCTCCCATTTCCAGATCTTCACAAGACAACCTGGGGGTTGTGAGTGCTCAGTCTCTCTGAAAATTCATGCTTTTTCCCCCAAGGTAACAATTTGTTTAAATTCTTACAAGGTAAGGGGTTGGAAAAAGAACCAAGCAAGGCAAGTGGGTGATTGTTGCCACCACTGTTTGAATAGCACTATAACTTAGTTTATATAATTCTTTATTATAAACTTGAGAAAAACACTAATTCCTATAGGTTGCAAATTAATCAGGATTTTTCATATTTACACAGATAGTTTGAATGCTATCACAGTATAGGGACTTGAAAAATCGGTACAGTATCAATTAAGTTTTGTATTTAACATTGCTTACCTAAATTTGTCAGGAAAAGAGCAACCTTTTCATACAGCTGTAACAGAGAAGAAACAGCCTCTTAGATATGCAACCAGCTCAAAAGTACAGAACTGCTTCCTAAGTCGAGTAACTGCTCTTACATGTTAAATCTGACATCCAGATGGTCTCTGGGATGTTCTGATAACGATGATAATAAAACTATATAGTAATAATACAACAGTGATAATAAGACAAGGAACAGTAATATTTTTAAAGCTTATACTCAGCTCTTTTCATCCACAATATATGGAGGAAAAAGTGCTATCACTGTCCCTGTTTTACATACATAGTGAAAAATGGTCAGATAACTTTTCCAAAAACACAAAGCAGAACAATAGTGCAACTGAGATTTTTGGTTTAGTTACTTATGGAACATTTATCTCACAAAAAACCCTCCCAAAACCCTAGTAAGAGCATGGCCTGATATGTTGGGTATTTTGGGCTTTTTGGTTTTGTTTGGGATTTTTTTTTTTTTTTTTTGGTGCTGAAAGGAAAGACACTGAGGAAACAAGGTTGTTTCAGAGAAAGTCTTTAGTAATCCCCACCACCAGACACATTTCTTACTCTGAGGCAGTGACATCGTTCTAAATCCCAAGTGGTATTTTCTGTGCTTAGCAGATACCATGCTTTCAAACTCTCTGTGAGACTGCTAACTTCATAAAGCTTACAAAAACTAACTTAGAGGGTTTTCACAATTAGCATTTGCAAAGGGGTTTTGAACCTAAAAAGTACATCACCACCAATATCAGTGTTAGTGTAAATTAAAACAACAGTTCCCATTTGCTTTAAATGAGTCTGGAGCCTGTTTGCACAAAACACTAAATATCCTTAACTCTGTCTGATGCCTACAGGGTTACAAAGTTCGTCATATTTCAGGTTCAAGTACTTACTGATTCCTAAATTGCATATCAGCAATGTTTCTTTTCATTTGCAGTTACCCTTATAAACTCTTGCTTAAATTGAGTTATGTACAATTTACAGATCAAACTGCCACCTTATGAACTGAAGTCATCCTGAATTATCTCATCCGTGTTAACAACCACTTCTTGCTTAGAATAGCTTTCTGCTGCCATTGGAGTAAATAGCTTTGTTCCAAGTAATGAAAAAGGCAGTTTCTTCCAGGTTTAAAAGTATCTCTTAAGGGCAAATGTAAAAGTGCTAAATGTCTGGGTGGTTTATATCCTGATCCCAGCAGAGAGTGTGCTATTTTATAAAGGTACATTGCTCTGCAGAAGGGCGTATCAAAACTGTATTTTGTTGCTATTCCTCCTGGAACAGTAAGACTGTGTTAGAGATCCTGTTAAGAGTGTTTGGATCTAACTATCTGCTACTGCAGTTTGTCACTACTAGTCCCAAGGGGCCTTGTTTAGGATCATATTCTGTTCTGTGTTCATATTTTCTATGGGCGATATGACTGGAATTAACAGGTTTTATTAACCTAGGTAAAGCTAATGATTATTCCCAAGTCATGCTCCAGGATTATCTGGGAAACACTGTGCTTGAAGGTCATTTTGGTTTTGTCATGATGGATGTGTAAGTGTATGTACCTAGCTCTGAGAGCATCTGGTCTTCTAGAAGTCATTTGTGGTCTAGACATTTCCCTCAATGCTTAGAGAGGTTGTCAACTCATATCAGAATCACTGGTGGTTTACCAGGCTTCCTAGCAGTGAATTCCCTACTGTTATGTACATCTTGGTCCATTTTGATTTTATTACTGTATCTTTGCTTGTTCTCCTGCTACTTTTCTTGAGTCACAGTTTGAGGAGGATTCAACTACCTGAATTCTCCTGGAGGATTTTTTTTTTTCCCCCAAAAGAAATCCCACTACTGTCCTTCAGTAAACTGTGTTAATCCATCATAGGAAGTAAGAGATTATGTTCTTAAGTCCTTCTTTTGAAAAGCTCATGCAGCTTCAAATTTGGGTATCTTTTGTTTCCATGAGCTATATCCAGATCTAAGGCTGTGGTGTTTATTGCATGATAACGAATACAAGGCCTAAGAAATCCATCTTTGCAGTGCTCTATTTATTTGATGTATGTTAGGAAGTAAAACAAAGTTTCTCAAAAGGCACCTTCAAGCCATCTTTCATTATTTTAAAAATTTCTCTAGGCTGAACAACTCTTTGACAACCAAATAATTTTGTTTGTGCAGTATTTCTTTGTTGCTGCTTCACTGCATATACAATGACTTATACTGAGAACTTGGAAATGGATGTTTTACTGACACAGATATATATATTAGTTCTATTTTTATTTCTTCTACGCTATTGTGTGCTCTAGGTGAATTAAAGAAAACTCCCAAAAGCTGCAGACAACAAACAATAAATCAAAAATAACATAAGAGAGCCCTCAGTGCAAATTCAGAGAGAATAACAGCTTCCACCTCTTCTTTCTGCCCCTTCTGAGCCTATAGTCTCACTTTAGGGAAAACATAGGAAAGTCAACAGTTCTTGATAGACTGTCCTAGTCACCAATCCAGTCTTGCCTATGCCAAAGGGAGAACCGAAGTCCTGCAGCAAAGCCTCTTGGAATTTCCTGCTATATAAATGAGAGGCTGTTAAAATTAATTTTTAGATAATGGGAATGCTTGGGCATTGCACAGGAAAGAAAGTAGTCTCCAAACCAGCATGTGGAACGTGCAGGTCTGAAATAACATCTTATACTTTCACTAGGAAGTAAGTCAGCATATCTGCTGGAGCAAAGCCTAACATGCTTTTTGCAGAAAACACTTGCTACTGAGTGGGTAGAAATACTCCGCTCTGGCTCCAGTGCCTGGATAGTTCAAAGGTGATACTTCCTCCCACTTAAAATGTATTCTTATAATATCAGGTGACAAAAACCTGATAGTAAAAGGCCATACATCTCTTGCCAAGAGCAATTACACAGAATCACAGAATCACGGAATGTTAGGGATTGGAATGGACCTCAAAAGGTCATCTAGTCCAACACCCCTGCTGGAGGAGGAACACCTAAATGAGATCACACAGGAAGGTGTCCAGGCGGGTCTTGAATGTCTCCAGAGAAGGAGACTCCACAACCTCCCTGGGCAGTCTGTCCCAGTGCTCTGTCACCCTCACAGTAAAGAAGTTTCTTCTCAAGTCTAAGTGGAACCTCCTGTGTTCCAGCTTACACCCACTGCCCCTTGTCCTATCATTGGTTGTCACCGAGAAGAGTCTAGCTCCATCCTTGTGACCCTCACCCTTTATATATTTATAAACATTAATGAAGTCACACATTGCTATCACAGCAATAATACAGAAGTACCTACATCTCGATGTAGGGGTGAAACTCATTCCTCCCATAATCCATGCTATACTGTCTTACTGGGGCTGTTACCACATTGAAATTCCATTTTTGTCTTTGTCCCAAGTCTAGTTCCAAACCAGTTCACAACAATAACCTGACCTCAGCCAGTCTTGCTACAGTGCACTCGGAGACCATGTCTCTGGTGTACTCTGGCAAAGGCCATTGGCAGCTCATGCAACAAGTCATGTTTGCTCAAGTCTCTTGAACTTTTAAGCCCAAGGGAGTTCTTCTGTATATGCACATTGAGTCTGTATATGCACATTGGATCTGTCTATGGATATCCTTACTGGTAAACTACCATGAAAACTGAAGCTGAAATAAGTGAAACTAGTATAAATAAGAATTAAGCTTGGCTACTGTATTTAAAAAATAACTTCAAAACACTAATTAAAAAGAAGAATATTAATTAAATGGACTGAAATCTGCAAAGAAATTAAAGGAAAAAAAGAGGCAGAGAATAAAACAAGAGTGTGGACATGTCTCCCTAAAATATTTTTTTAGAGCATTCAAACACACTTTACATAACATTTTGGGTTTGGAATTGTACTTTACATAAATAGTGAATGATGTCCATTAATGGTAATGCCATGTCTGGCTTAGCAAGACATTCTGTTCCTGCTGTAAAAAGGAACAAAATGCATACAGTCATCTGCAGACTGAGATATCTACTGATTTGATGGCTTGGGTATAGCTTTATACATGTTAGTTTTACTCACCACGTTCAGTAGCATGATGATGCAGAAGTTGATGCACACTGCAGTCCCTGTAGTTGCAACCTGAGAGTTATTCCTGATTAAAGCCCACTTAAAGGCAGCAAAAGTGCTGACAGTCACAACACGGTAAATAACAATGCCAAAAACAGCAGCAATCACCACACAGATCTACAGGAAGAAAAAAATCAGAGAGAAGAATCTGAAAACTTTCAATAGAACAGGAGTTAACTTCTCCCTGAAACTGAAAACTAAAATAATGAAATGAAAAACTTGAAAAATACATCCATTTTGATTACATCCAACATGAATATTCTTATTGTAAAGTCCTTTTCCATAATGCAAAATATCTCTGAAATAATATTAAAATAATTTTTAGTTTTAATAATTCTCTTGAAAATTGATCTCTTCTGTAGCATTAATGTGGGAAACAGTGTTGCCAGCTCTGTGAAACAGAAATTTTCCTTACATGCATGTTCTGTGATGTGCAAAGGCTAGTCTCAAGCTGATGTCCCAGCTTTGGGGACATGTCATGTTTGGGATGGATTTTGTGCTTTGATGGACTTCACACTTACAGGGAAAGATGTCTCCATTTGTAAGCACTGCATGAACAACAACCCTAGCAAGCTACCCTAGCAAGCTGTTTCTTGCTACAATTCTGGAAAGATTCCACTGAAGGAAGGTAGCAAATTCAATTGCCTTTGTAATTTCTTCTCTGATGAGACTTTCAGCAAATGTGACAGTTATAATGTGAAAGCCATGCAGCTAAGCTAGGCTGCTAAATCATTTGATGTTCCATAAGCAACAGTTAAGCACTAAATGACAACTGTTTTCCATCATGACCAATTTGTGGTATGGTTTAGCAAGTCACCTAAAGGACATCCAGTTGGGAATTAGCATGGGTGATTAATCTCATAGAAACTCTGACACAGTACCCTTTAGCTACCTTATTAGATAGAGAGGTTCTTCAGTAGAAGATGATTATTTGCAAAACATAGGTGTATTCCAGGTTAGGCATAGACAACTTAAACCTATCAAAACTGAAGTATATCTAAGCAAATTGAATGGGCAAAATTATTTTGAAAATAGTGAATGCTAATCAAGCAGTTTTCATATTTTATTAGTTACTGAATGGATTTACATCATCCCAGTGCAGATGAAAAAGAAAAGTGTGTGTGAATGTGAAAGGCTAGTTTATTAGATTCTCTGCTACCACACTGGGAGCACATAGAAACATTACAAAATTACTCACCTGGAGGATTCCCTGCACAGGATTGAGGAGAAAGACCAATTTCCTTCGTTAATAGGGAATCAGTAACCTGGTTCCAGCTGTATTAGTAACTGTACTATGAGAGTCAATGCTGTGAAATTTTGAGAACTGCTCTAACTCCAAGTTTTGATAAGCATGTGTCTTCTGTGTTTACAGCTATAGTTTTTAAATAATATTTTTACCTAAATGGGGGAAAATTCAGAGTTTTTCTAACTCATTGGAAACTTATGCTATGACAGCAATAAAAAATACCTTCAGTGAATTGTCCTGTATCAAAGACTGTTATGGGGACAATTTGTGGCGCACACAATTCAGTGCAAGGCTACTCTCTGACATTTTGAGCAAGATCTGTCATTAGGCTAAGAAGATTAATGACTGCCTTTGCAAAGGGTAGGGAGTGAAAACTGTCCCTCCCTCAAGAAAAAAAAGTAGGGAAAATGCAAAATGTTGAATCAACAATCAGTTCTGAGCAGAGTGCAGTTCTGAACAGACGTAAGTGTATTCAAGGGCTGAGTCAGAGAGTACATTAGCTCCTCGTGCCCAGTGTTTCTTTATGTGTCTCAGTCCATCCACCTGACATACCAGAGCACAGCTCATCTCAATAATGTTCTTGCCTTTCTTCTCCAAGATTGCTTTGGACAATTTTGAAGCCATCAGTTGCTCACAAGCCCTCTGCCCTATTCCCTCCTGTCTCCTGAAGTTATACACATATATAATTTTCTAGCCTCCAGGGAAAACTAGTAAATTCCATGAGGTTCTGAGTTGATGCCAGCTGTGTTTTCAAGATCAGTCCTACCATTGCTGTTGTCATGTGCATAACAGTGAATAACAGATTCAGTGAAGCTGGAAGATGGGGGCATTTTAGCAGAAATGCATGCAGTTCTCTGTTAGGAGAGGTTTTGCTGCTGCATTTAGTTTTTCACTTTGGAAGGAGGAGAGATGCCTCATTTTAGGCAAGGAACATGGGTTTCTTCATTTCAATTGCACTAGGAATATGAACTCTCTTTCCCTACTGCCTCAATACACTGAAAAACCAGGAGATATTTACATCATGAAGTACTCTAGGTACCTTAGATTCTCTGTAGAGTTTACAATGAACAACTGCCTCTTCCATGACATCTCTCCCCATCACTCTGCTGTCTACACAGGGAAGGCAAGAAAAATCAGTGAACTAATTCAGTCAGCTGAAGGTGGTGTCTAAATGTGATAACGTCACTATTCTGGTATGTGTATTGCTACATACAGCCTTATGTGTATAGCCTTGAAGGAGGACTGTGAGACTTGGTGAAGAGTAAACTAGTGTAGGACTTTACAGAAACTCAGGCTATTTGCTGTGTACAGATTTTCAGCCTGCAGTAAACATGCTAGAGCTCATTTAACTTTCAAGCAGTCATATCCCATAACTCCAAACTCTTTAGCAGAGATAACTATGATAGCAGAGATAACGTTAATTTGAATTTTTCAACTAGTAAATAAATAAAAGTTCTCAAACCATAAAAAATATTCCAGATGCAGAAACAATGAGTCTGCTGCATTTATCTGCAAATGCTTGATAAGGCTCTGGCTTCCCAGATATGGGGTTCATTCGTTCCTTCTTGGAGTACTTGGCTTCAAACTGAGGACGTATTTCCTCCTAAAGAACAGACAGACAATGTTCACATACAGCATGGCTAGGAAAGATTCTGTAGGAAACTTCAGATCACTTAATCAAATCACTGTTATTGGGAATTACATCTTTGAATTCAGCAGCTGGCACAGCTACTATAAAAGCTGAGCTGGGAAATCAGGTCTCCTTCATGAGAACTAGAGTAAATCACTGTACCCATAAAACCATATTGGAAGTATTTAGTAAGCTCCCTGATTAGCTACTCATCTAAATGATACTCTTTTAAACTACATGGCTGTAAGCCAAATCATTTTAAGGTTGATACCACAGTTTTCCAGCCTGGTATTATCCTATTGATACTAGAATTCTACAACAAAGCAAAAAGAAAAAAGAAACTCCTTTTTCCTTTTCTTTGCTAGGTAATTGGTTACCTTCCCATTATCAGCAAAAGCTTATCAGCATTTGAAGAAGGAACCATCTAATATTGCTCAATTCCTTCGTAACTTGGACAATATTATTAGCAGGAACAGCTTTCAGCAGCAGAAATGTCAAGTCCTGCTTTGCCATAAAAACTCTCTTCTGAAATGAAACCTGGGGATTTCTTGGGGAGAGGCTTGGTTACATCTGTTTGTTAAAAGACAGAGTTCACCCTTAGTTCAGGTAAGACCTCATGGTTTTCAGCTGCAGTAGAGCTACCCCACTGCTCTGCCATCCAGAAGGTTCATTAACAGCTGCATATCCTGTGCCACCTCACCCAAATCTGACATCAGGGATGCTGTTGGAGAAAATAGAAAGCACCAGGCTGTGAAGATGGACTCTCACAGCTTCTGGCAGTCCATACACATTGGATCAAGTTTTACATTGCTCTAATATATGCTGGAGAACCAGCCCATGGTAGAGCTGGCTACAGGGGAGCACAAAGGCAGCTATGGACTATCTTTGCAGCTTTTGCACCATGCCTCTGCTGTGCATTTCTTTGTAACAGCCAATACTAATTTCAGTCACTTCCAACACTTCCACTGCATTTTATTGAACGTTGACTGACTTAAAGTTGTAAATGAATGGACCTTAAATTACTGCATTGAAATAGATGAATGTTAACTGCTCACACAAGTCTTTAGAATGTGAATAAAAATAAGATATCCTAAAATTCTATATCCTTTTTATAAAAGTCTCC